CCCCAAAACCCCAAAACCCCTCAGCATAAAATGAAAAAAAAATAGAGAAATGTTTAAATGAATATATAAAATCCTTAATTAACTTGTAGATAATTTTATTTATTTTCAATTGCTTGACTGATTTAATAAATTAATTGTAAATTATAAAGTTATTATGCCTTAGGTCAGCAAAGTTTTAGAAGCGGTTATTCCTTGCTTTCTTTTGCTAGTTTTCTTCCTCCTCCTCTATGTATTACTTGATAGGTGCCAAAAAAGAACGAAGTAATTCGAAGATTTAGTGTACAATAAGGGAACAGGAAGAATCATTTTACCAGGCATTAAATTTAACTGTAATCTCTATGGTGACTCTTTCTCTATTATGCTAAAAGACATCGCTTTAGTAAAATCCAGTATTAGAGATTAATAATCCGAATCTTAAAATCTTGAAAATCACAGTTGGCTAGAGTAATCTATATTAACACAAAACCCTTAAGGACTCTAGAAAAGAGATTTAGAAAATATAGAGGTTGCCTTTGAAGCTGATGTTGATTTCTAAAAAATATAAATTTCTCACTCTGAGCGAAGCCATGAATTCAATGACGACATCAATGAAAGCATTGATCATGAAAGAAAATCCAAAATTATAAAGTATATAAGAAGCAAAATCATGTAGTTTGATGAAAACTAGAATGAGCTTGAGGAAGATGATATTGAGAACCAAGTTCTTAATGGTAGTCAAGCTCAAGTATTGAATGTTTCTTAATGGAGTAACTCAGATATCAGACTTTGTAATCCAAATAAGGATATATAATTAGATCTCAGAAAATACGAACACAACTATGAACTCAAATAATCAACTGATGATTGCTCAGATTCTCAAGTATTACAACCCTTAAACAGCTACCAAAATCCAATAATTGTGGTAGACGATCTCGTTTTCAAAGATAATGATGAGAATCAGTGAGGATTTTTCATAAACTAAAAAATTGGCTGTTTTGGGTGAAAATATAATTTTTTGCAGCATATAACAATGCTATCCATATATCCCTACATTCTACTACAATTATTTTATTAAAAATTAATTTCATCATAAACCTAATTCTATGATTTACTTTGAATTTTTATTGAGGGGTTTTGGGGTTTTGGGGTTTTGGGG